CAACAGAACATTAGTTATAGAAGGAAGGTTACCGTTTCCAATGGTTCCAAAACCAATAATCTTTCCTTTCTGATTTCCTCTAAATTTAACATCTCCTCTAGATTCAAGTTCCAGACTTTGGAACATAGACGTTTTTCCCGTCATATGTCGTGAGCATCCAGAGTCCAGGTACCATGACTGGTGTTTCAACTGTGTTATTAAGGACATCTGCAACATATATTATTTTCTCCTTAGGTACCCATATCCTTTTGGGTCCTTTTTGGTTAGAGTTTCTAAAGTTCTGTTTGAACTTTGGTTTAGCATAAAAAATTTCAGAGTGAGATGTGTATTTGATATCATGTGTGTGCCCAAAACTAAATTGTCTGTGCAGTGGTTTATATGTGATAACCATTTCCTCAACGGGTTTAGGTTTATATGTTTATTTCCCTTTGAGAGTTTCATATCCAATTCCTCTTCTGTTATTTCCACTAACACCATAGATCATTGAAGTCATTTTGCTTCTATCTATGCTTTTAGCAAGAAATATTTGAAAACTAAAGTTATATTCTTTAAGAATATCTCTTGAACTTGAAGCAGAATCTGAAGTATAAATATTTTGAACTTTTTGAACTTCCTCTTTGAGTTTAAAATTGTTTTCTTTAAGTTCAGAGTTTTCTGTTTCAAGTTTCTCAAAATCAGATGCAAGATTCTTTTTGAGTTTCTTGTATTTGATTTTGAGTTGACTGTAGTTTTCAAGAAGTTCTGATAAGATTTCTATAAGTTCGGCTCTAGATAATTAAGAGAATACCTCTTTCGATTCTGAATCAGAGTTTGAGTCATCGTCATCTGCTATGGTAGCCATAAACGCTAGGTTAGCGTGCTCATCTTCTAAGTCAGATTCAGCTTCAGAAGATTCTAAATCATCCCAGGTGATCATCATGCCTTTCTTTCTTCCAAACCTTTTCTTTATTCTTTCTCTTTGTAGCTTAGGACAATCACTTATGTAGTGTCCTGGTTCTTTACATTCATAGCAGACTATATCTCTTCTACTTGACTTCTTATGTCCAGAATATTTTGGTTTATCTTCTGACCTCTTGTAGTTTCTGATCTTCTTTTGTTTGTGCTTCCACATCTGGTTGATCCTTCTGGAGAGAAGAGATAACTCATCTTCTTCTGATGCAGAGTCTTCAGAGTTTCCTTCTTTTTCCTGAAAAGCGTTAGTTTCACACCATTCTTCTGATTCTCATGTTCATCAAGTTCTATCTCGTGACTTCTTAATCCACTGATAAGTTCTTCAAGAGATACATCATTCAAATCTTTTGACACTTTGAATGTAGTAACCATAGGTTCCCATCTTCTGGGTAAACTTCTGATAATTTTCTTAACATGGTCTGCCTTGATGTATCCTTTGTTCAGAACTCTCAGGTCTGCGGTCAGAGTTTGGAATCTTGAGAACATAGCTTCAATGGACTCATTTTCTTCCACTTTGAAGGCTTTATACTTCTGGATGAGAGCCAAAGCTTTTGTCTCTTTTACTTGAGCATTGCTTTCATGAGTCATTTTGAGAGACTCAAACATGTAATGTGTTGTATCTCTGTTGGTGATTTTCTCATATTCTGTTTTAGAGATAGCGTTCAGAAAGATATTTCTGGCTCTATGGTGATTTTTGAAATCTAATTTCTGTTGTTTATCCATTTTCTTTCTGTTAATCTTGTTTCCGTCTATGTCTTCTGGATGTGTGTAATCATCTAGGACCATATCCCATAAATCAGCATCATGACCTAGAAAGAAACTTTCTAATCCTTCCAGTATTCAAAGTCTTCTCCATCAAACACAGGAGGTTTGGTGCAGTTGTTGTTGTTTTGTTCAGTTGCCATAGTGTTTTCCTTCTGAATCTTTTTCTGACATTGTTAGGTGTTTGCATCCAGAGCTAGAGATATGATGCCAATTAAAGGGTGAGAAAACACTTAGAAGGGGGGGGGGGGGGGTGAATAAGTTTTTCATTTTTCTCGCGCAATAATAATGGAAGGACAAATGTAATTTTATCCTGGTTCGTTTGAAACTCAAACTACTCCAGTCCACCCGCCAAGCTGATTTCGCCTCTCTCAACGAGGACTTAATCCACTATAATGAAAACTGATTACAAATGCACAACCAAACTGTTGTGACTAACAATACAATGCACAAGCCAACTGCAAGTGACTAACACCTCTAAGACTCAACTAGTCCTAGCCCTCTTGAGAAATTTGACCCAACTGGTCTCTCAAGGAACAATTACAAAGATTATCTCTTAACAATAGTGAATCAAAATGCTTCTAATAAGCTATATCACAAACTGTGATTTATCACTAAGATTTTAGCCCAACACTTAAGAATTAGCCACTATATACAAAGAGTTTACAGGAATGAAAATAGTGAGCTTCAATATATTTTGTGTGGATCAGTAACATTGCTTTGAAACAAATGGTCTTCTATATATAGTTTCAAATTTTGACTGTTACTACCTTGAAGAGAGAGTATGCATTAATGATGCGTGTTAGCTTGACCTTTATGTTTCCAATGCTCTCGTGCGTAGTACCACTTGAGTGCGTTAGCCGTCTTAGCATTAAATGATCAACAGTATTGTCAGAGCTTGTCTCTAGAAGTTTAAGAGTTTGCTTGCACCGTTGCAATATCAGAGTTTGCTTTAACTTTTCTTCTATCAGAGTTTGCTATATCACTCCTTCTGTCAGAGTTTTCTTCATTTTATGTTCATCAGAGTTTGCTTCAACTTGCATTATCAGATATTACTTTCAGCGTGCTTCTTTCAAACCTTTGCTTCAGCTAGCTTTATCAGAGGTTCCTTAAGATTACTTTTTATCAGAGTTTGCCTTGGAGTGCTTCCTTCAGAGTTTGCTTCAGACTTGCGTTTACGTAAAATTTCTTAGGAATTTCTTTATCCTTTTTCTGCTCAGCGTAGAATGATGTTTCACTTTTGAGAATGCTTGAGTCAGAACATCATCTGAATTAGAAAACATTCACATCAGAGTATAAAATATATTATACAAAATTTATTTCATTGTTATTATCGAAACTCCAAGATATGATTAGAACCAAACTTTATTCTAACAATCATGGCTTGCATTATCAATATCTTCCATCAGATTTAGACGGCCAAGAACTTATTGATATTTGAAGCTAAGGATACTTATTTGAAAACTTGCAATACTAACATATCTTCTCATGCCAAGCTTGTTGGCAATCACACATTCAAGTTGTCCAATTCTTCCATCTCTAATTTCACTATCTTGAAGAAATTTGACATCAATATTCACCCTAATAATACATTGAAGACCAAAAAGGTTCTTCGGCATCCTCCTCCTGTAGGATGGCTGAAGTGTAGTATTTATGCCTCTGCTAGAGGCACTCGTTATTTAAGTGTATGTGGAGGTGTCTTTAAAAATGATAAAGCTTGTCATGTTGGCAATTTTTGAGCTTATCTTAAATTTGGCATGGTTTCGATAACAAAGATGTTGCTGCAATGATAGCTCTTGAAAAGGTGTTAGAGTTTAATTGAAAGAAAGTTTGGATTGAAACAGATTTTGTATTGGCTGTTAATGCTTTCTCAAATCCTTAAAAGATAAATATTGGATGGCTCAACTGTTTAGCCTTTTCCCGTTCTATATATATATATAGAGAGAGAAAGAAAAGAAAATTCTTGAGCATATTTGCTTGCGACCTTTGGTCTTAATTGTAAAACTTTCTCTTGGATTTTCTCGTGTTTATAGTAATATTGTTAAGAATTACGTGATAGACAATATTGGTACCACTAGGCTAAAACTTATTTTGTTGAGTGGTTAACAATTAATAATTTTGGATTGTCTCAATATATTATTTTTATAGAAGATGTTATAAGATTGAGTACAATAATATTAAGTTATGTTTTTGAGAATATATTATGGGTTGTAAAGACACAAGTTTAATTATAAAGATATACTCCATTTAGGGATTATGATTACACCTATTTAAATAATGATAAAACCCTATGATTTTGATTCTTTATTTAGTTTTGTTTTGTATGCGCGTGATTTATGGAAGTTGACTCCTTATGAATAATATTTTAGATATAAATTTAAAATTTTTAATATGATTATTGTCTTGTTTAATGTGTGATCGTGGAGAAGAAAGGATTTTCAAAATAATATGATGTAGTAATAAATCGATTATATTATGTTTTGAGTTTAAGTATTTAATTCTAATTTATAATAATACATTTAAATGTACACAAATTAATGTAGGTTAAGAAATTTTATTTTTTAATTTAAAATATAAAATACTATATAATAATAATATTTATATTTATTTAAATAGGATGTGTTGGTAGACTTAAATGATTTTTTATGGCATGTGACATAAATTTTTAACTATGCAAACTTATAAAAATATGTAGACATTTTCTATTAAAAAAAGGCTAGTCTAGGGAATATTCTTGTTAGTTTGTTTGACTTTCATTCTTCTTGAAAACAATTTGTAATTCAACAACTTTTGAAGTAAAATTTTGTGTGATGGCATAAAATAGAAAATGTTATAAAATATAAAAATAATATAAAATTCATAAAATATAAATATAGTTATAATAAGAATAAAAATAACTAGGTTCCGATCTATATTTCAAGCTATTTCCATTTAATTTTTTTTTTTTTGCAATACTTTTTGTATAATTTTAATTTATAATTTTAGAATAAAAATAATGACGAGTTTTCAAAAAAAGAATAAAATATATTTATATATAGAAAAGTATAATTGTTTTTGACTAAAAGTTTTATATATGGGAAAGTATAATTGTTTTTGACTAAAAAAATATTTATATATGGGAAAGTATAATTCTTCTTGACTAAAAGTTTAATAATTTTCTTTTTTTTGATAATACCCTTCATTGGAATTTATCGACCAACATATGATGTGTCTATAAATATCATAGAAAACAATGTGATTGGAAACTAAGAAGAAGAAAAAAAAAGTTGACAGAAATATCTTTCAAAATGGTGAAAGCCATCTCAAACTTGTCTCAGGTTTTTGTTATTTTAGTTTTTGTTGCAGCTGGTAGGTGTATATATATTTTTCTATTCTTATTTTTTTAGCTAAGATGTAAACTTTGATTACAATTTAAATTTGAAATACTGAACACTAACCCTAATATATATGTTTCATGACACAAGTTTGGAACATGGGATTACCACAAGTGAATTGTGAAGAGATATGTCAGTCACCTATGGGAGAATGTGGTGCAGCTGGAATTTGTCAAGATAAGTGCAAAGTCTCATACGCTGGTGGGGAAGGGTCCTGCAATACGCTGATAGGCTTATGTATTTGTTATCATCCGGAGCCATGCAATTGAAGGACCTAATTGATAAGATTTAGGAACATAACTTTATGTTATCTCATATTGTTTATCTTCCTCATGAAAGATATATTAAAGGTTCTATAATAAATAATAGCTACACTGTGTTAATTTATTTTATATTGAAATTTTAACTATAGTTAAAATATTTTTTATTAGTCAATTTATATTTATAATATTTTATTTTAAATTATATACTCCGGATGATAATTAATAAATTAAACGTAATTTTTTATATAAATAAATTTAATGTATTTTATTAATCAAAAGCTGAACAATACAAACAGGAGATATATGTAAAAAACTATTTAGACTCTTCAATTAAAAAATTGTTTTTTTTAAATTTTTTATATTTATGTAAAAAAGAAAAAAAGCTTCATATATAATTGTTGGTTGAAGAGCTAAGTGTTTGAATGATATTAAATGTAATATCAGAGTTATCTTGTATTGGATTGAAATATCTTTTGTAATTCTTTTAATATTATTGTTGTTTATAAAAATAATTAAAAAAAGGAAAATATGTATAATTTTTTTTGTAGTATCAAAGTCTAACAATAAATAAATAATGTCAATCACCAATATTTTTTTTATTAAAATAAAAAATAACGAAAAATATAACCAAAATGAATATAAAATTAAAATGTACATTAAAATAATTAAATTATAATATACATAAAATGAATGAAATAAATACATAAGATTGAGGTTTTGTGTACAAATAAAAGTGAGATTTGTTTTTTCATTAAATAAATTTGTGTTTTCACTTATATTTCTTTTTGGTTTTCATTATAAAAATGGTAAATATATATTATATTTAAATTGAATTTATATTTAACTTAAAATTAAAAATAGAGTATTATTAATATTCAATAACATATATTTATAATATTTTTTAATAAAGGCATAACTTCAATAAAAGGAAAAAAATAATACAAAAAAAAAGAGGGGGACCAAATTAAAACCCTCTTAAATGTTAGAGAATCTAAAGAAAGACAAACTGAGTATGTTCTTAACAAAATTTGTTCTCAGAAATAAAGGCAGCACATCAAAAAAATAAGAGTCTGTAATTGTGAGACCGGGGTTATCAAGGGAATTTGCACAAGTATTTCCTTATTTATAGATGTGAGAAACAAAAAAAAAACATATGGGAGGTTATATTAACACAATTAATCCATGTGGTTCGAATTTTCCAAGGCACCATATAAGGAGGGTTGAAAGCCTTAATCATCGCAGAAGAAACAGATTCCAACCAAAGGCGATTCCAACCCTTCTCATAAGCAAACTCAATGGATGACATAGCTCCAATAAATTCGGCGATGAGAGAATTAGAGTCAACTATAAAATGAGAGAAAGATACCACCACAAGCTGAAGTTCTCGGGTTGTGTAAAGATATACTATCACAATTGGCTTTAATCCAACTCCAAGGAGAGGGTTTCCAAATCACTTCCATGATTCTAGGGGAATTAGGAGGACGAATAAGAATTGTACAAATTTTCAAAATAAAAAATTCTGCAATTGGGAGGTGTTGAGCATCTTTGGACCGAGAGCAGAAAATAAAGCAAGCAGCAATGATAAAGTTAGTGGAGGAGGAGACCCATACCGATTTACCCTTGAATATCACACTGTTTCTAGCGGTCCAGACAACATTGGACAGGTGAAGAGTAGCCCCATGCACCACTGTATCGCATTGACCAGACTGGAATTGATAACAAGTGCGCCAAACATCACCCCTATTGAAATATTAAATTAGATTTGTTAAAATATTCGATTAGATTAGATTTGAACATATTTAATATTTAACTATAATCCAAGTTGTGTAGACCCTAGCCTAACTAGGATTGTATATAAATAGTTCTAATTTGTATCATTATTTGTACAATTTAATAATATAAATTTTTATTTCCTTTATTATTCTCTCTTTCTCTCCTCACTAAAGTGTCTCACGCACTAACAAATTGGTATCCAGAGCTTTCGATTATTGTTTTTGATCGAGTTTTCAAGAATTTCACGTCAGAGATCGTGTTTCTAGGGCAAGTGAATCATCTGCCGCGAAGATGGATAGTGATAAGGGAATTCTGAATTCTCTTCCAATGCTTGACGGAAAGAATTGTATCTGATAGAAAAAATAGATGCAATCCTTGTTTGGCTTCTATGAAACCCTAGAAGTGGTTATCGATGGTGTTCCTGCGTTGGTTGCAAATGCAACCGATGAACAGAAAAAATCCTACAACAAAGTCAAGAAGAAAGATTGCAAGCCTGCTTATTGCATTCAGACGGCGGTCAATGCTGCTAATTTCGACAAAATCTCTCATGTTGAAACGGCGAAGGAGGAATGGGATATTCTGGTGAAGTATTACAAAAGAGATGAGAAAGTCAAGGTTGTTAAGTTACAAATCTTGCATCGACAATATAAGTTGTTGCCAATGGGAGAAGATGAAAAAGTTGTAGAATATGTGTCGAAGGTTCAAAAAGTCGTCCGTCTCATGAAGGGTTGTGGTGAAACCATAACTAATAAGATGATAATTGAGAAGGTAATGAGAATGTTGACCTATCACTTTGATCACGTTATCGGGGCTATTCAAGAATCCAACAATCTTGAAACCACTAAAGTAGAAAATTTGGTTGGTTCGTTGGAGGTGCATGAGATGAGGATTATTGAAAGGAAAGGAGTGCAAGACTCGATACATGCTCTGCAAGCTCAGTCATGGAAAAAAGATGGTGGTTCCAACAAATTCAAAGGCAAGTTCGACAAGACTCAGGGCAAGAAGTTTTGGTCGAAACCTCATAAACATCAGGACGAAAATAGAGCTTCTGAATCCTCGAAAGGAGAAAGAGGAAACTATAGAAATGACAAAGAAGATAAAAAAGGTGTGCAGTGCTATAACTGTGAAAAGTGGGGTCACGTAGCCAAGAATTTTTGGTACATAAAAGACAAGGTATCGACAAGCAAGGACGAAGAAGTGAACCTTGCACACCAAGATTCAAATGATTCTGAAGGTGATATGGTGGTTATGGCTGCAGTTGAAGATAACCATGTCAAATCCAAAATCTGGTTTCTCGACTCAGACTGCTCAAACCACATGACTGGTTGAAATGAGTGGTTGGCAGATTTTGACGAGTCGAAGAAGAGCAAGGTAAAACTTGCTGATAATAGTTTGTTGCAAGCAGAAGGTACTAGAAATATAGTCTTTCAAATGAGTAATAGAGGGAAAGCTATAATCAAAGATGTGATTTATGTACCTGGAATAAAGTTCAACTTGCTAAGTGTTGGACAACTAGTTGAAAAAGGTTTCTCAGTTTTCATGAAAGATGGAGTTTTGTAATTGTTCGACATCAAGAACATTTTGGTCTTAAAATCTCTGTTGTCGAAGAACAGGACATTTAAGACTATGATCAGTTCGACTGAAGTTCAATGTTTGAAAACTATTGTTGACCACAAGGATAGTTGGTTGTGGCATTTGAGATTTAGACATTTGAATTTTCGATCATTCAATCAACTGATTACTCAAGATATGGTTACTGGAATTCCAAGTCTGAAGATGCCTGAAAAACTTTGTGAAGATTATTTAGTAGGAAAGCAATCCAGAAATTCTTTTGTTTCGACTATGCCAATGAGATCATCTTGTATACTCGAAGTGGTACATTAAGATGTATGTTGTCCATTCGAAGAACATACAATTGGTGGAAACATATATTTTGTTTCATTTGTCGATAAGTTTAGCCGAAATTTGTGGATCTATGTGATCAAATGAAAGGATAAAGTATTTGAAATCTTTAAGAGATTCAAGATACTTGTCGAAAACTAGAGTGAGAAGAATATCAAAATTCTGCGAACAGATGGAGGTGACGAATACACATCCAAGATGTTTGAAGATTTCTGTGCAAAACATGGTGTTGATCATGAGGTAACTGCTTCTTATACACCTCAACATAATGTAATTGCTAAAATAAGAAACATAACCATATTAAATATGGCGAGATGCATGTTGAAGTAAAAGAATTTGCCAAAGTCTTTATAGAGAGAAGCTGGTTCGACTGCAGTTTATATTTTGAGTAGGTGTCCTACCAAGATATTGAAGAACAAAGTTCCTGAAGAAGTATGGAGTGACAAACGACCATCAGTGAGTCGTTTGAAGGTGTTTGGCTCTATGTGTTACAAGCATGTTCCTGATGCAAGAAGAAGGAAGTTTGATGACAACAGTGAACCTATGATTCTGGTAGGATATCGTAAAACTGGTGCATATAGACTATTCAATTCAGTTAATAAGAAGACTGTGTTGAGTCGAGATATTGTGATTAATGAAAATTCTTCCTGGGATTGGAATTCTAGCAATTCAATTAACAAGCCATTGATGAGTTCTGATGTCGATGAAGAAACTAATGAAGTAGAGGTCGAAGGAATTATTGAGAATCCAGTCAAAGTCAAAGAAGAAGCAGTTTCTGAAATTCTCGGCACAGACGAAGTTGAAGAGGTTGTGGCTGAAACAAGGCAAAGACCTCAAAGAAATAAAGTTCCTCCAACAAGACTTCATGATTATGAAGTGGTGGTTGATGATGAAGTCACACCAGATGGAGAATTAGTTCATTTTGCTTTACTTGCAGGTGCTGAACCAATTAACTATAGCGAAGTTTTGAAGACTGAACAGTGGAAGTTAGCTATGGTCGAAGAGTTATAGGATATCGAAAGAAACAACACATGGGAGTTAGTCGAATTTCCAGCACATACAAAAGCTATCAAAGCAAAGTGGGTATTCAAGTTGAAACATAATGTTGATGGCTTGATAGTAAGACATAAAGCAAGATTAGTAGCTCGAGTGTTTCTTCAAAGAGAAGGACTCGACTACTCTGAAGTATTTTATCCAGTAGCAAGATTGGAGATTGTTCGACTAGTGGTAGCATTGGCATGCAACCAAGGCTGGTTGATATTTCATTTAGATGTGAAACTAGCATTTTCGAATGGTCCTTTAGACAAAGAGGTTTATATAACACAACCTCC